GAGCAGGGCTGACACAGAGCCAAGGCCTTTGCTGCTCCTCACCCCACCAGCGAGGAGGCTGGGGGGGCACAAGGAGCTGGGAGGGGACACAGCTGGGACAGGTGACCCCAACTGACCCCAGGGATATCCCATACCATATGATGTCCTGCTCAGCATAGAAAGCTGGGAGAAAAAGAGGGAAGGGGGGGATGTTGGGAGTGATGGCGTTTGTCTCCCCAAGTCACCGTTATGCGTGATGGAGCCCTGCTGTCCTGGGGATGGCTGAGCACCTGCCTGCCCATGGGAAGGAGGGAATGAATTCCTTGTTTTGCTTTACTTGTTCGCACGGCTTTTGCTTTCCCTGTTAAACTGTCTTTATTTCAGCCCACGAGTTTTGTCACTTTTACCCTTCTGATTCTCTCCCCCTTCCCAGCGGGGGTGGAGTGAGCGAGCGGCTGTGTGGAGCTTAGTTGCTAGCTGGGGTTAAACCATGGCAAAGTGTTATAGAAAAAAATCTAGTGAATCCTGTGAAAGGTTTACCTTTAAGGATCCATAAACATTTTTTCCTTTGCTTCCACACATCCACATGTGTGTGATATACTGAGGTTTTCAAGTTTTCTGCTGTGTTCTGTTCTTCTGTTGCTATGCCTTAGAATATAGATACATGAAAACTAGGCTAACATTCAACTGAAGTTTTAATTATTCTTCACAAAAATATAAGCTGAAATAAAAGAAACTTCAAACTCTTCACAGAATGTTTAATGTTCGATGACATAATCATACATGGTTAATCAGTACTCCCAAAAGATGTCTCTAGAGGTCAAGTTTCATGTCGGGGGTGTGTGTGTTTAGAAATTACTGTACATACAACTTTGCAGGAGAAATTAAATGGGATATCCTCTGATAGGAAGTTGCAGGAATATCTAAAATTCTGGAAAAGGCATTATCAAGCAAAAACTTGGGTTGTATTTAATGGGAATAATGCAAATACGTTAGATTACAGGAGAAAATTTTAAAAGAAACTGCTAAAGCATTTAATATATTGGTAATCCACAGATAGCTTTTAAGAAGTCTATGAAAAATGACCGTAAGACCAAGTTCATATATTCTGTACCGTAGTATCTGCATATTATGATTTCTGCATATTATTATTTCTAAAGAGTTTTGTACTGTCAGTGGAAAGAAACCTTTTAAGAGTTGGCAAATGCAAAAAAAAAAAAAAGGTTATTTCATGGATATATACAGCAATGTAAGAAGTGTTGTAGAGAGTCAGACCAAATGTTTATCTAGCTACTGTGCTGTCCCCAGGTTTTCGGAGTAGATAAGTATGTAATGTGTTTTGAAAGGAACAATGTTGTTGCACTTTGGTGGATTTTTAGTGACTGAAAAAGCTGAGAGCAAGCTCTCTGAAAATATGTGGAACGTACCGTAGCAACCAGAAAAGCAAGGCAGAGGTTAGGGCTAACCAGGGGAAATGGAAAATAATACAGAAAGACACTGCAATAGTATTTTGGTTTTATTAGCTTTTGGTTGAAAAACCTTGTTTTGTTTGGGTCACTACATTTAAAAAAAAAATCCCCAAACATTGGGCAAACAGGAATTCTAAGGACAAAAGACTTAGAAGGGACATAACCAAGGTGTATAAATATACAGATACTAGCTTTCATTTGCAGCCCAAATTTTACAAGACTAAAGAAAGTGTCATCTACTGTATTAAAAAAAAAAAAAAGTTACTTTGTATTTCAAGATACTAGCTGCAATATTTGCATGGGGCACTTGTCAAAATTAGTGCAATTCAGAAGAAGATCTGGAGGCCAGTGCTGGGAAGTCATATCTTGGAAAATTCGGCAAGTGATTTTCAGATGTAAATAACGAGAAGCCTCGATGTACGCTGCTTATGTTTAGCTGGTGAACGTAAACTAGGAATACAGGAATTTTACTTCCTTATAGTCAACTGAGAATGAAGTATGGAAGCCTGTACAGAGGATGACTGTGCCTTTCTTTACTGGCCTTGCACAATTCGTATTGGAATTACACAGTTCAGTTACTCACCTGAGTTAGGGAACCAGAAGGACTGCTTTAGGCACCTCAGTTGAATGTCTCAGGTTATATGGAACAAATCTAGATCTTACTCTCCCTGTAGCCAAAATAAGCTAACCTTTTCAAGTATGCTGCCTATGGTATCTTTTTCATGTCACTCTGTTCGGCATGTTGATGTTCTGGAGGGGTCAAATCTTTTAAAGATGGTGTGCCAGGTTGTATTTTTATTTCCAAAACTAGAGGTTAAGCATGCCAGTAGAAACTCGGGAGGAACGAGGAGAAACTGCCTCTCCAGTAGGTGAAATACAGCCGTTGGGATGTTTGCTTCTGTGTGAAGCAGTGGCTCCTGACTTCCATCAAGTGTGGAGCTTAATGGGAGCCAGGAGCTGGGAGCCCCTGCCTCTCTCCGATGCCATGACTTGTGGACCTGCTCACCCCTGGTTCCCGAGTGCCGTCTTTGGGACCCAGTCCGTATGTTCCTGACCCCTGTTGTACCACACGGGCCATTCTAGAACCTGGTATGACGATTCTGATGTTTCTATCTCAAAAAAATTTGTTGTTTAAATTTAAGATTAAAGTATTTCGGTTTGCTTTTTAGTCTTTTTTTTTTCTCTCCCTCTTGAGCTTGTTTACGTTGTACAAGAATTTTTTATTTTATGTTTTTTTAACAGGACACAATGTTTGTGCGAGGATTAAAGAGAAAATGTTTTGATGGCGAAGAAGATATTGAAGGAACTCTGGCTGGTATTAAGGCTATTCCTTCATATAATCTTCAGCGGCAGTCACTTTTAGATATGTCCTTGGTTAAACTTCAGCTGTGTCACATGCTGGTTGAACCTAACCTTTGTCGTTCGGTACTTATAGCCAACACGGTACGGCAGATCCAAGAGGAAATGACTCAAGATGGGACTTGGCAGATGATAAATACCCAGAGTACAGGGCAGGCATCCCTGGATCGTCTTGTTTCAACAGATATCCTCTGTCGTTCATCTAGGGAGCAGGCTGAAGGAAAGCATGTTCCAAGCTATAGTACTTTCAGTAAAGACTTTGAGGGTGACCAGGCACAAGATAGTTCAGAAACTATGTCAACAGCCCCTTCAGTGCAAGCTCCGAGAAACCTGCAGAGCAATGTGTGGGAAATGGAGAATCCACAAGAAAATAAAGGAAACTTTCAAAAATCATTAGATCAAATATTTGAGACACTGGAGAATAAAAGTCCTAATTCTGTTGAAGATCTGTTTTCAGAAGTTGACAATTCTTACTATGATCTTGATACTATGTTAACAGGCATGATGAGCAACTCAAAAATGGGACACTGTGATGGGCTTGAAACATTTTCTTCTCCAACAACTACAACTTCTAACTCTAATTGTAAATCTGATCTTAATGAGCTTGATCATATTGTGGAAATCCTTGTTGAATCCTGAAACTCCTTGTATAGGAGATAAAGATCTGTTAATGGGAAAAAAAGACTCAAGAAAGCTATTTCCACAGTTTGTTCTATCAAATCTGCACGTGTATTTTACAAATATCTATATATTATATAGATATCTATATTAAAAAGCACTTCATATTGCAAAATAGTGTTAACTCTTAAAGTTAACCTGCAACTTGTAGTGTAATCGATTTATTGTCCATTGAACTGTAAGTACATACGGTAAATGTTTCCAAGTTTGGGGTCTGAGACTCTTGAAATTGGGTTCCTTTTACCAATTTTAGCCTTTGATGGAGGATATGCTGAGTGAGAGGGAGTCTCTCATCTTTTTCTTACACTTCTCCGAGTAAAAATGGTAATAAACATAGAGAGAAGTTGGGTAACTGGTTTCCTATTTTCCTCCGGTTTCCACTTTGTTACACCACATAACTCGTACCATATCTGCTGCTTCTGTTCTAAGTCGCTACATGGCTCTTAAAGAGCAGTATGCAATAGTTCCTGTTATCCTAGCTAGCTTATTCTGGTTTTTTGCTACAATTTTTACTTCAAAAATAGTTTTAAAGTGTTTACTGGTGTTTAGATTTTTCCAGGTATTTTCCTAAAATATATTTTTACTACAGATGTTATGTCAGCTGCTAACTTAGTAACTTTTGATCGTATCTGCAGTTGATGTATTTTTTGAAAGATTTTCAAAAAGGGATGTTTTTTTACCGTGAGCTACCCAATGTAGTTCAGTAAAGTGTATGTAAATGTAAATATACAATTTTATACTTTACATTAAAATGTAAGAGCTGTTTTCATGATTCTGTTTTATAGAGTAGTACTTTACTAAATTGAGAATTGTACAATTATGCTTTTCATACCCCGTATACTTGAGTATCATTAGAGGAAGAGCTTTGATCCAGCTAGATACAATTAAATTTAATTCATTTCAGACCATATTTTTTGTTAACTACAAACCTAAATTATGTAGGTTTTTATTTATGTGTATTTATATGTAAATGTCATCAAGTGAATTGTTTATCACTGAAGTCTACCATCAAATATTTGTTTATATGGGATAACTATCTTGCACTAATTACTACAAAAAGTGTTATTAGCGGCCTTTAAATCTCAACTGGTATGTCATGATCTCTTGTCATAATTAATATGCTCCACTCTTACCAAGGGTTTCCTCTTGGCTTTTTTTAATAACAAAAGATAATACAACGTGGGATGGTGTTCTTTTCTTCAAGTACTCACATTCGTTTTAGAGTGTGTATAATTAAGCTTATTCCTATGAGACTTTTTTGGGAGAAAGGTATAGATCAAGTACAGTTTATGGTTTTGTTGTAAAATGACAAATGTTTACCTTCACAAGCTGGTACTGGGGAGGAGCTCCAAACTAGCAGGGAGGTAGAGAAGGGGAGAAAGATTGACTGTTTTCTGGAATGTGTTAGCATTGGCTGTGCTAGGGGAAGACATCTGCCAGTAACTCAATGTTTTCTTGTAGACCCGAGCCAAGGAAGCCACTGAACGTGAACATTTCTGCATCTGACAGGCTCTGCCTTCCCACCAGTGACCTTGCCTACTACACACTATGCTTTTCAGATGCTCAAACCCCTAAAAAGGGGAGGGGGGGGGCAAGGGGGTGTTAAGGACATTACAGTGTCACCTCCATAAAAGGAGACCCACCACTGAGCTTTTGATTTCAGCAAGTGCTTTAGAAGCATCTGGTTTGGGGAAAAATAACATGGCTTTGCTAAATTTTTCAAACTTGATAGTTGAATGCGTATTAGCTCAGTCACATGAAACCATGCAGTTGGTGTGAGTCTTCAGTAAATTTGAAAATGTTTTTTGTATCAAACTTGGTCACGAGAGAAGCCATAGTTACTGTAGTAGTTAAACATCACTTCCTCAATTGATTAATAAGTTTGTATTAAATTATGAAATACCATATAGGTAACTTGCAAGCTCAATCCATGTAATACAGCTGGACCAAAGAAACAAGGCAGTACTACATGATTTAATCAATAGAGATTTCACTCATAACTGAAAGGTGTGGCAGTAGTATATCCTGCTTCAGGAGGATATAAATGTTGATGTGAACTGTTGTATCTCGCAGTGATGTAACAGTTCTGTTTTGTTTGGCAGTGTGTGTTGCAGTATCAGAGATTCTTCCTTCACAGTTATAAATCCGCAGAACATTATTCTTGATGCTTTTCTCTGTGTGAATAGATCCACTGAATTGGACAGCAGATGCTTTAGGGTAAAGCAGAAAGCCAGCAGTTTCAGAGTTCTATAAAGGAAGCATTATCATTGACTTGAATAACTAAATCTCTTCTGTCCCTCTGGGAAAGCCCCCCCAAACTGCTATGAACTGTGTTCAAAACCCACAGGTTTGAACTCTGGGTGTTCCCCTTCACAACCCCCCTTGCCCTCCATTTTCATTAAATAAGCACTTGTGTGTCAAGATGCTCTCCCCTGCCTCCTTAGTGTGCATCACTCTCCATGTTACAGGTCGCAATCAGTATAATTTTTTCATAACTCTGAAACCGTGATGTCAAGTGTGTGTGTGTGTATTATATATGTGTATCTGTATCTTGCTGTACGAAGCATCTAGCTGCGTGCATTCCTGTTCTGAGGAAGCTATGCCCGGTTAGAGCAATCTGTAGAGACTGTTTGGCTTAACGGGAAAGGTATTTGGTAAGTATGCATTTATGTAGTTAAGCATTTAAACAGAGATATATATTCTGTTCGATTACGTTCTTAAAACTTATGCCAAGTCTCATGTGCCCGATACATGCCTGATACCTTGGCTCAAGTCTTCAGCAGGTAGAAGAATTTGTATTGCTGAAACTTGCACTGTCACTGTACAGAACCGATGTGTGGCTTTGCAAGGACCAGTTGGTGTAAAATCGGCTTGTCTCCCTGCTGCTTTATGGGTGTGTCTCAGTCTAATTCAGCTGCTCATTCTGGGTAGCTTCACTTCTCCTGTTTTTTTTTAAAAAAAAAAAAAAAGCGCTTTATTTTCTAACTTGCATTGTCATTTCTAGTCCAAAGAGGTCTTCGTTGAATATGCGTCACTGAAAGGTTAAGTTTCCCCTCTAAGATACTGAGGGATATCAGAAATGATAGGGTGCCTGTAAGACAGTGAATTTTAAAATACTTATTTTGTGAACTGTTACTACAAATGGCATGAGATGATACTTGCTGGTTGTGATTTTCTTAATTTCTACATACAAATGGGAAATAACCTCTGTTAAATTAGGAAGGGCTGCTGTAAGTTTTTGCTACCACTTCTATCAGACTTTTTCCTTTCATGTGCTCCTAGGGAAGAGAGTCATGAAACTTGCACGGCAGTCAGTGCCATGTCTGAAACAAGGCCCTTGGTATGAATGACATAAACCCAGCTTTAGACTTGCACAAAAAGAAGTACTTTCAAGCAAAGAGCTAACACCAAATCTGCTTCCCTCTCAGGTAACCTTGAATGTCTGTCCCTTCTGCCTCTCTGCCTGTGGTTTTATTTCTCCTTCTCCCTTGCCAGAAAATCCAGAACACGTGGAGCTTCTGGAGCTCGGCGTTCAGCAAGGGCAAGAAACGTGAGGATCCAGGCTGCGTTAACAATGCCTCGTGTGCACGAAGGCTTGTCTGCTTATTGCTTCCCGGTTCGTTTGGTGTTTGTTGGGGTTTTTTTAATCCCCTCTCTCTTCTGCAGCTCTGTGAGTTTATCTAGCAAAAGATGTTGCCTGCCTCTATGAATGTAGCTACATTTGCCTAAAGGACAAATCAGGTAAACTTGAGAGAATCATTTCTTTGGATGAAAAGCACATGTCCAGACTGCCTCAGAGGCGCAGCAGTGATGGGTTTCAGCCTCGAGCAGAGTAGGGATTCACATGCGAGTCTTCGCACTCACCACGAATTACCTATTTTCAAAGCTGTCTTTAGACTGTTTTGGAAGTCTCAGGCATGTCTGGACTGCTTTAGTAGGTAAATTGGCTGATAGTATAGTTTTATATTATAATTATCAGACCATTATGGATGCCATGTGCCTCAGAATATTGATTTGAGTGTATGACTGCCTTACAGTTCCGCAATTTATTTCATACTCCCATATAACTAAACAAGCGCTGTTAAAAAGCTAGGATGAAAAAAATACCCGCTTATTTGCTGACATATAGGATAAGGCAAATAAAAATGCTTTCCAAAGTGACTTCTGTTCAAAGTGAAAGTATATTTATGGTTCAGGCCTAGGATGCATAGTCCCTTATGCAAAAAACCCATGACCGATCATGACAAATTTTGATTGCTCATCAATTCTGAAATGAGTGTGATTTCACACACTGTGACTAATATTAAAAGTGCAAAAACACCAAGTTCCAAAGAAATGAAATCTACATCTTAGGAAAATACGTATTTTTGTCAGTTTTGCTCATTCAACTATAAGCTCTCACAAGGATTGTCTAAACTCCTTTTGGTGTCTCTTGCAAAGTTGGCAGTTAAGATAAATTCTCCTATTTTTTCAAGGAAGTTCCACGAAGAGATGAAATCCCACTGAATAAGTTGGGTTGTCAGGAAAGAGATTTACTTCAGATGTCTGTAGTGACTTTTTTTTTTTTTTTAAAGCCACTGAAAAATACTAAAATTCCATTATCTGGCATGATTTTCATATGTTTGCATGGTAGCTTTTTTTTTAAGAAAAAAACCCAATTACTCCTTTGCTTAACCAATATTCCCCCAAAATGAGTGTTTTCTGACCTGAGGAATTATTGTGGTAAATCTTGATGCACAACCAACATGTCAACAGGAAAATATAAAGCTAGAGGCAACTTTCCATTGCAGGGAAAACATTCAGTAATTTCAGCTGTCATCTTTTTAGGGAAGAATAATTGAAGATACAGGTGATTACATGACTTCTTGCAAACACAGAATTAAAAAGAAATCGTATCCACATGTCTGCCGTATTTGGAAGTCCCCTAGGAGCATGTGGGAAGTGGCAAGTGCGTCCTGCAATAGTAAAATGCTACAACAAAGGAAGAGTATATCGTATTTTTCATGTGCCAGTTACAGACAAGTTTTGGAGATCAAGAATATGTCATAACTTCAACCTCGGGTTGTGCAAGCTTCCAAAACAGGACTTCTAAAGGGAAGAGCAGGTATGTTGCTAAAAGAGAACCACCAAAATAGTTTAATACTCGGAGGAGAAAAACAGTACTTAGAGCAAATTCACTTTTCTGTGTTTGAGATCATTACTGAGAGACATGCTAGATATGGAAGGTGCTGGGTGTTGGGGGGTTTTTTTCTGGCCTGTAAGCTGACTGAAGTTAAGGATGAAATTGTTGAATGGTTATTTGTTTTAACTGCAGCCCAGTAACGTGGTTTGCTTTTGTGTCTCTGCTTTGTTTGAAAGGTATAGGGAGAAAGTGCTTTTTCTTGTAAATCGTGATTCTTTTGAAAAAATGGAATAATGGCCTGTTTAGCACTCTGACAAATATTCAGGAATGTGGGGTTTGGGTTTTTTTTTTTTAAATTACCATCTTGAGTCATGGCTTTTTTTTTTTTTTTTTTAAAAACTTGAGTAAGTGTAGGATTAGTTAGTATCTCTCAGAGGCTTCACCACCACAGAGGTGGTAAAACTAAACGAGGCTTTAGTGCAGCAGGCACTACCCTTTCTCCCTTTCCTATGGAAGTATGGCATCCATGATTGTTCTGTCATTCAGCTTCAGAATAACTAATTAATTTCAACCAAATCTGGCAGATATCACAGTCACGTTTTTAGATTATTTTTTTTTTAAAGTGTGGAGGTGAAGGAGAGCAGAAGAAAACTGTGTTCTGTACTGTAATCCAGATAAGGGAGAGACATTTATAAGTTTCCAGGCATGAGACCAGCTTCAATTAGAGCTTGTACCTTAGACAGAGAGGCAATTAATCACAGGCATAAATCCATAGGAAAGCAGTCTTCATTAGTTCCTGTGTTCCTGGAACTGTGTGTTTGAATAGATGCTTGGTACGAAGGTAAGTAGAAGTAGCAGACCTCCAGTAATCCTTTCAAGATGAGTTAGAGAGAGACCCCGATTGGTTTTGGGGTTGGGGTTTTTTCTGGTTCATGTGAAATTTGCTGCAAAAGCAAAAATGCTGCTCATGAGTATGGTATCTCGGCCTGCTTCGGTGAGTATAAGTCATACTGAAAGACCATGTTTAAATCATGAAAAAATCATTGTTAAGTCCCCTGTTTGCCTCGAGATTAAGGCAAACTGGGGAGAGCATTAAAGACTCCTAAAACGTGACCGCATTTGAGAAAGCAAAGGCCTTTTAAAGAAAGTTTTTGTCAAGAAAGACCTTACATGCAAGCTCAGACCTCAAGCCTGTGAGACAAGCACGGCTCCTCTAGTTTAAGATGCGAGTTGCACAGGACATGGCTGAGATGAACTAGGTTCCAGCTCTCATTATGAATCCCGCTGCTGACACTTGACGCAAGCGAGAAAGTGACAAAACCTTTGCAAATAATCAGTGTCTTTTGTGTAATTTCTGTTAACTTCTCCAAATGTTAGGCCATAAATCCAAAGTTCCGATGCGTCTTGTTTAAAACTACTCCCTGCTAATTACCTTCATAGATCTTGTCAGAGCATGTATGAAACAGAACTGACCTTTCTAAAAGCTCCTGCTGTAGAAGGCACGCGCACCCTTGTCTGCTAAACAAAAATTGGTTACAAACCAGCCGACCGTGTCAGGGTAATAACTTAAGGAGGAGCGGGGAAAGCGGGGTGAGCAGTGTCAGTGTCTTTCTGAGAGGTCTGAGTGGGAGGAGACTGTCAGGGTGGCTTGGGTGCTGCGTTGCCTCGCTGTAGCTCTAGGCAGGGATGCATTCTCCGCTCTACCAGCCCTGGGGGGTCACCCTGAGAATGCATGGGTTTGGCCAACAGGGGTCAAGTCTAGAAAACCTCATTTTTGCTCAAGTTATTAAAACATTTTGGTGGTGCTGCTGGTTAAATTGGCCCTTTATATGCTACATTAGACAAAATCCTCCCAGATACATCCCTTCTACACCAGCTACCTTTGCACGCCTGTTCCGTATCTCTTCCTCGGAGATAATCCCTAGCGTAGGGCAGGGGTCGGTCCTGGTGCCATGCTCCCGGTTGTCCCTGGTTGACTTGAGCAGACAGAAGAATCCTGAACATCTTGGAGTTCCTTTTCCGCTTAAGCCACAGCGTGTGGTGGGAAGGAACGGGGCAGGGCGGGGGGGGATATTGGGTCCGCTCCTCCCCTTAGCGCTGCTGTCAGTCCCCCGCTTATGCTTGGTGCAGCAGATGGGCTGTGGGGGTAGGGGTGTCACCCCTCTGCCATTCGGGGAGGCATCCTCCTCTCCCGACACAGCCCCGGCAGCGTGTCAAAAAGGATTCATTAATGCTTCCTGCAGCAGGACTCGCTCCCCTTCTGTGCTCCCTGACCCCCGGCAGCCGGGTCAGAGCACAGCTGCGGCCCAGAAATCGGTGGTGGCACGCTGCAGGGGAGAGGGGGCCTGCGGGGACGGTCCCGGTCCCCTCACCTCCACTGATGGATCCTGACGGTGTCGGCCATGGCTTTCTCTGCTCTTCGCCCCTTCCTTGGGGGCACAGGACCTGGCGCTCCTACCCCTTCACAAATGCCCATCAGGAGGCACAGGGGTTAAAATCTGCCAGACCTGAGGGGTTTCATAAAACCATTGGGTTTGTTCAGCTGAAAAATCACAAAAAGCAACTCATGTTTTGTCAACTTTGCAGTTTACCTCCACCTGACAACTGCGAGGGTTTCTGTAGTAATTATCAGGCCAACAGTCTGTGAGTTTGGCCTGTGCCCACTTTCAAGGTAGGAAGAACCCCGCCTGCGCAATGTGCTTGATTTTTGTTGGATTGTCCTAGGGATTAATCTAAACCCACCTCTGAGAGAGCTGAGCAGCTTTTCGGGGATTCCTCAGGTAACCCGTGGTAGGGTTTGACAAATGCTCAAAATCAATCCTTACAAATACTTGAATGTCGGATTTTGAAATTCGGTTTGCACAAACACTTGTGCTAATGTAACTTGATTACGCAAATGCCCGTGGAAAGCAAATAGAAGAGGTTCGAGCGCGGCCAAAACCACCTCATCTTTAAAAAAAAAAAAAAAAAAAGGAAAAAAACCC